TTCTTATTATGTTTATTTTAATTACGGTTAGTTTTTTTTTTAAAAATTAATTTGGACCGTCTCTCGATTGGTTAAAAGTTGCATATATGATCTTTCGTTAGTTTAAATTTATAAGTTTCATCCTTTGCGAGACATGAAATGACTATTATGTCATTTTTATTATTATTTTGATTTATTTTTCCTTCTTATAATTAGTTATGAAAAAAAAACACACACACACACACACCTTACCCACCTTATCCTAACCCCTTCCCTTTAAACCCTCTTTTCCTTAAGCCACCAACAAACCACCACCGGAGACGACACTATCTCGTCGGAGAAGAGAGTCGTCAGACCATCAATGAACCACAAACTCTCTCTCTCTCTCTCTCTCTCTCTCTCTCTCTCTCTCTCTCTCTCTCTCTCTCTCTCTCTCTCAATACGAAACACACAAAAAAATGAAATCTGTAGACAAAAAACAAAGATCGATCGAGAGCTTTCCGACGATTGAGGGGGTTTAAGGTGGCGACAACAAAAGAGATGATCGGACCAAAAGGGGCGGCGAATATCTTTCCGACAAAGGGAACCAGGTAGGTCAAACATATTTTCCATGGGCTAGGGTTTCGTCAAATATGTGTCGTCATCGACGTCGGTCGGTGTTGTAAAACTCGTCGAGTTTGTCGATTACTTGTCCGGGTACTCGCTGCTCCGCCCCTTACCGATGCGAGTTGCAGAATCCGAGTACTCCCCAATCGGCCCTTTATTGAAGCGAACAGTGTTGTAAAACTAGGTCAACTCGGTGATTAATATGTATAATATACTTAATGATTTATTATTTAACACACACATACATGTGATTATTACTACATATATCTTAAATTTTCAGTAATTATTCATGAAGTGAGACCATTGTGTGTTTTTCAGTTTTTTTGTATTCACATGTATCTAATTTTGTTATATATTTCAATCAACTTATGGTTTTAACTTATGATTTTGACATATATAATTTCACTAAAAATATTTCTACATGAATTACCGAATCCAAGTACTCCTGAGTACTCGTTACTCGGTAGTCGGCCGAACAGGTACCGAGTAGCGAGTTCTACAACCATGACGTCGGTTATGGTTTCAGAATCACTGCCTCTAAGATCTTTGTCGATGATGGTTTCAAGTCGTCGAGGGTTTCGAATCAGCAGTTTAAGATCGTCAAATACATCATCAAAGGGCGTGGATCGTGAAAGCCATGGTCGAGAACTACTATGCTTGCCTGATCGTGAAAGCCACCACCACCTAGGGTCTCAGATCTAAGATCGTCGTCGCTAGGTTTCCAAACAGCCACCACAGGTTTCAAATCGAGCTCCACTGTCAGATTTGAGAAATAAGATAGGGAGGTGACATAGTTTAAAGAGAGGATATGAAATAGAGAGAGCCATAGAGAGGGAGGGAGGGAGAAAAGCGATGCTATCTGGTGGGTTTCGGTGATGGTGGACTGTGGTTTCCGATGGTAGTCATTGGTGGTAGACGGTGGTTCTGGTGGTGTGGTGTTGGTTTCAGACAATGTAGAAGGATAAAAGGAAAGGGGAAAGAAAAGGAGGAGGGTGGGTTGGGGTGTGGGTGATGTGATTTGTTTTCTTTTGTTTTTTTAATCTAAATTTGATAAATAAACCTAAAAATTAAATGAAAAGGAAAGGAAATAAAAAGGGTTAATATAGATATATAGGGTTAAGAAACACTGATTCATTTCCATAGAACTGCAAGACATATCTCCGTAAAAATCTTTAAAATTCACAACAATAAATAATTTCACAAAATAATTTGTGAAACTAAAATCACCTTAAATTAGAAAAAAGATATTTAAGATTACACTAAATTGGAACACCCACAAAAGTAAGTGTATAAAAAAAAATATATGTTTCACAAAGACTCCGAGGGTGTAGGTGTGTTTTTTAATTTTAAAAGTATTTTTGGGACAATTATTTATTGACTTATGGATTTTTCTAAAAGGTGTGTTTTTTAATTTTAAAAGTATTTTTGGGACAATTATTTATTGACTTATGGATTTTTCTAAAATGAGTTTTTTTTTTTTTAAATATATTTGAATTAGCTTTTGTGATGGCAAAAATCAAAAAGTCAATAAATTGTTTTTTAAATAGTGTTTGGCTTAGTTTTTACATGTAAAATGAACAGAAATGACATGCTGAAGTATTTACTATTTTACATATAATATTTTATACTTAACAATTTTTTTCACAAAAATTATAATTTTTACCTTTTTTTACAAAATTTCTTTAAAAAAATAATAATTTTTTTTATTAGACCATGATAATATTAAAATCACGTTCATACAAAAGTAGAATATAATTTGTAAATAACTCATAAAAAGTATCATAGGTAACATTACACGAATCATCGTTACTTGTACAATGTGTATTTGAACCTTCTTCATGACCTTCACTACTAGTATCACCTTGTGTGGGATTGTAGGATTCTTGTTGTGCCCTATTAAATGTTTCATCAAACCTACCAGCATTTCTAATATAGTTATGGATCATCATCGATGCTATTACAATACAAATACTCACTTGATGCTCGTATTTGTAATTAAAATGTATGTCTCTTAATAACGCCCACCTAGCTTTCCACACTCCAAAAAGTTCGTTCAATGATATTTCGCAATGATGAGTGGCAATAGTTAAATTTTCTTTCGGTCGTCAATGTGAGAAATTGTTGGAGAAGAGCGGGAGAAACCTGTCGTGACCTTTTCAAGAACGAGAAAGAAGAGGTTTTATGCTTCTGGCGTGCGTCGATATAAACAGGAGGATATGTGTGCATGGATGTGAGGACTTTTAAGGGTTATTAAGGGCACAAATGTAATTTGAATGCCAAAAAACCAAACGCCCATTTAAGAAGTCACATGCCCTTACTTTTCATTTTGAGCTTTTTAACCCTTTAAAAAATGTCATTTAAAAAGCATTTTACCCTTGTTAAACATTTTTTTTAACTTGTTGGCTTTTTAGAAAAAACCAATAAGTCAATAATTCACTTCAAGAAGCACATCCAAACACCCTCTCGGTTAGACCTGACAATTTCATACACGAATACACGAATCTGTGAGAGACACGACACGAATACATCTTAAAAATTAAGATAAAGCTTATTTCTCATCGTGTAATCGTATCGTGTCAAATTCGTGGCTGGCACATTTTCATGACACGAATACACGAATTGCCAGGTCTACTCTCGGTTCAAGCCCAAGTGGAAGTTTCGCCAATTGTAACTTCCCTTGTCTTTGGGAGTTTCTTGCTAACCGTTAGTATTTGATTTACCTCACAAGATGAGTGTGAGACTGTTTTTGGGGTTTGGAATAAAATGTTAATATTACCTTTTATTGTAAGACAACTTAAATTAAAGTAAAATCAAACCTCTTACAATTAATCTTTCATTCAAAGACTCATTTTATTAGCTTAAATACAACTTAAGTCAATACAAAAAATGATAATTCCAATCACCTCCCATATTTAGTTTACATTAATAACCCCCTCCAAAACTTATAATACTCCACAATCTTACAAAAGACTAATATTTCCAACCCTCTTAACAAAAAAAAAAAAAAAAAAAATCATCCATCCAATAAGGGAGGACTCCAGTCGTCCAATACTGGAATTGGACAACTGGACTCAGGCTACTACTGCAGGTCCAGTGACCTGCAGAGTTGCAGATTCCCATTCGACCGTCTCCCCACACCGTCCATCCCTACCGTCTATCGTTTTCAGGCGATACCGTTCAGCCCTAGACCCAATCACCTGACCTAAAACAGAAGCCGCGATAGTAAAAGCCATGGCCGATTTAGGCATCAAAACCGACTTTCTAAGCATGGCAATAAATGGAACGGCTGCATGAACAGCTGCAAACCAAGAAGGTGAAAATTTCTTGGTATGTTCTCTCCATATCCCTAATGGAACATTAGCTGCCATGCCCATAACTCCAATCACCAGTACTTTTTCGGGCAGCGGTTGTGGCCGGAGGTTTTTTGCAAACACGGTTTTAGCTAGAGCTGCCCGGGCTGCCACGATGACCGGCGGGCACTTGTAGTTTATCCCTGATGGTGGTTTAAGTGCCTTGGCCATGATTGGTAGGATGTTAATCACTGATCTATACGATTTTGCTATCGGGCAATTCCCATTTTGTAGCCATTCTTCACCCATTGCTTCATGATTCGAGTCTTTGTTCTGAAAAAAAAAAAAAATTATAAGAAGGCATGTTAGATCTTTTTAAGTTTATTTATATATGTTTGAAAACGTATGTTGTGTTTTTTTTGGGGAAAGTGAAAGTAGGTTGTTTATTGCTAGCTAATGTACCTTTGAAGACTTTTTCTTGTTGGATGGTTTATGTTTTCTTTGTTGACTTTTGAACATCTCGTTAAATGCATCAAAACCAAAGGCCCCACCAAACCCTGAGAGACTAATTGTAGCCGCTTTAGCCGCTAACGGGTTGAACCGTTGTGGAGCCGGTTCGGACCCATGTAATGATGGCTCGGAATCGGAAAGTGGAACCACACCATTTTGGCCATGGAAAACCCTAAATGCTCTATCAAAATTGGGACCATCTTCAAATATAGGACCTTTTGTTGCTCCCCTTCCCCGGACCTAATCACAATAAAAGAAACTATGAGGATGGTTTTAGCAACAAAAACAAACTTTCCAATTTTCCATATCAATAATTGTTTTTCGTAATGATTTAACCATTTTTTTATTCAATGCAAAATACAGAAAACATAATATGTATTTTCACCATTTTAGCGATTTGATCATTGAACTATTGTTTTTTAATCGATTTAGTCATTGAATTATAATAATAACAATTATAAGAAAAATATTAAATTACCGGTAATGGGATAGCCACGGAAGATGAAAAGGAGAAATTAGTAGGTTCGTTAATGTTATGCAAAAATGGGCAACTAAGAATGTCTCGTTGAGAAGTTGATGATTCCTCGGTCATATTCCTACCAAAAAAGTTCATTTTTATGGCACTTTGATCTGCAAGAGAAAAAGAAAATGTAAATAAACATCATAATGTTTTGATCTCAAATTGTTAGTGTATGGTGCTCTATATATGTATATGTTGGAGTCAGTCATGGACTCCTTACACAAATGACAAATAACTATTATTCGTTTGAAATTTGATGTGGATTAATGAATACGTTTCACTTTCTACCATATTGATGTGAATTAATGAATATGTTTCACTTTCTACCATAATATGTAGCTACATAAAAAGATACAATAATTACTATAAATAGAAACTGTTTGTGTTCAAATTAATCACAATTTTGGCAAATAGAATTTTGACCTTCGGAACCTAAAACCATAATAGTGAATTAATTCTCAAATTCCTTAAAAAAAAAAAAAAAAAAAAAAAAAAAAAAAAAAAAAACCCTATAAATAGATAGTTTTCAACAATACAAAGTTTAATCGACCCTAATTCTCAATTTGAGCAAAAACCCATCAACGATTCAATCTGAAACTTAATTCAAATGAATCACACGATCAAAATTAACCATTCAAAGCGGAAATAAAAAGCGTAATTTCGTCATACCTTTAGAAGACGATGATGCGGGAAGATGGATTGATGAAAAATCAACGAGTTTAATATGTGATAAAGAAAACAGATGAAAGAATCAAAAAATGTTGAAGGAGAGTAATGAAGGGAAGAAGATGCGTTGAATACAAAGGAGGGAAGGGGGGTAATATGCGTTCCACTTCCACACTCTCGAAGACCCCCAAAACAACAGCGTGATGTACATACGCACTTGGTCAAAGCTTGGGGGCTGAATATAAAACGACGAAGAGACCCATTCTTTCTTGTTGATTGGTCAAAGCTTGGTCAAAGCTTGCTGCCTTCCTTTGACAATTTTCGACTGGAAACGCATTGTCAAAGTTGCAATCTTTAATGGCGTTCTGACTCGATATTTATTTATTGTTTATATGTTTATGGTAGCATGAGTGGTATTATAAATTTGGTCGTAATATTTTAATCATAATAATAACATGTGTTAACAATGTAATATTTTAACCAACTATATCTAGCGGGTTCAACTAAAAGTTGGTTAGAAAAAGGTATTGATTATTAATAAATTTAATATCTTATACTAGCGTTTATTTTTGTATATTAACTTTTATTTACACATACTAAAATTTATTTATATATACTAACATCAAAATAACCATTATTTTAAATTACATATAATAATTTAGCCATCTTTTTAAAATTGCCAATATAACTACCAACATTTTGGCAATTAATTGTTTGGTTGCGAATTTCATGATTGCTGGTGCCCCTATATAACATGTTAAAAACTTTCATAAATGGCATGCACAATATATAGTGTTCTCCTTGTGTATTTTGAAATTATAAAAAAAAAAAAAAAAAAAAAAAAACTATATCCAATAAGGTTATGAATTATTATTTTTCCAAATGGATAGCTCTAATGAAGTAATCATTTTCTATGTAGTGAAATTCTTTTGTTTATACAAACAAAAAACAAATTCTGAAACATATTATAACAAGTTTGAAACTATAAACATTTTTAAAACATTAGGTTGTCTCTAGTTTACGAAATTTAGTGCTAGTTTTGTGTATGAATGCTAGGTTCTCAAACCAACAAATAAAAAGAATAAAATAATTTTTGGCCATTACAATAAGCTTTTTACATGTTTCCAGAAAGATTTTAAGAGGTGCACACAAGATAAATAATATAATGCTAGTAGGGTTTGTGTCCTGAAGGATAATGTGAGATTGAATTTTGGCACGAAAGTGACAAAAAAGGGTGTTTGAAAGAACTAAACCGAAGAAAAAAAAAACATATAATGAATATGTAAACGGAAAGATAAATAGTAAAAACATCCGATGTCAAGTACATTCAATCTTGAATTGTGTATTAAACTTGGACTAACATTCGAGTCAAATTGTGACTTAATTTAGTACTAAAGGATGTTAACAAACTCTACTGCCTTTTTACTTGTCAAAATGTTTAACTAAAATAAACTATTTAATTAAACCTAATCTTACTTATTTAAATAAGCTCTTAAATTCAGTTGAAAGATAGTATTACGTTTTGTACAAGTATTTCACAAGCACGAAGGGCTACAACATGTTTTGTACAAGAATCAATCTATTGTTTGCTATTGAATTTTAATTCCTATGACAATAAAGGATTTTAGAATTTAAATAATTTTACAAGAAAATTGCCTAATTTAAGTGGCCAACAAGAATTAAGCAAAAATTCAAGATTTTTAATCCAAACAAAACATACATTACTAAACCAAAAGTGTTACCAATATTAATCCAAAGTAATGAAACACAACCAAAAAGTTCTACTACAATGAATGTTTGTTAAGTTTTTTGGTTTGTTGACGTGGCACCAAAACTCAACTAAATGAAAAGTAGTGGGAATTTAATATTTTCACAAGAACAATAAAATAGAGAGCTACTTTGAAGAAGGTTCTTGTTCCTCTGTGGTTCTCTTGTATTCTGGCTTCAGTTCATAAGTCCCTTGGTTTGATCCTTTGTTGTTATAGATGCACAAATCTTTAAGCATATCTTTCAAGAATTGCTGAAAACAAAACAACACATTTTCATGATTTTACATCATTTGTAGAATTAGCTTCTTATTAAATATCTAACATTGAAAAAAAAGAAATATGAAATTAAGGTAACAACATACTTCAGGTTGATCTGTTTCAGAAATAAGCTGCTTCAATGTCCAATTGGATTGTCTCTCAAATAACTTAAACATAATGTCTTCCATCTCTCCACGATCCCTTCTTGTTCTTTTTGTGTCTGATCCTTTCACTGGAGCTTTCTTCCTCTGCTGTAAAAATGACAGAATGCATACAGAAACTTAGTATAAAGTATAAAATAGATTAAAAAGAAACAGGTCTTGATTACAGTTTGTGAAGGGGGTCTGAAGGCAATGAGCCCTGGCATGGGCCTCATATGTGCTCCATTATCATTGTCAATAACCTGAAACAAGAAAGAAGAATGATATATTATCAATGATTACAACAAATTTTTAAATTTTGTTTCAAGAGTAAAGAGACCTGTATTTGTCGAGTTTTAGTCATATATTTGTTTGTTCTTTCACGACAGAGCTTCCCATACTCCTCTATGTTCTCATTATGAGGTTTCATGTCAAATTTATGATATATTTTCCCTTCAACAGAAAGCCTTCCTGAAATCCACAAGTGTCACATTAGTCATTTCCATTGCCATTGTTGTCCCAGATACAATGTCTTGATTGATAGTTGTAGTTGTAATTAATTTATACAAAAAGTTGAAGAATGCTAATGCTTTTACCTTGTTTGGATTCGGAAAATACAGACATTGGGATAAAATCTGTTGACATGTCCATGGAGTAACATTTGGGTACTCTCCCAGATTCAGTGCCAAGCAACTCCATAGTAAACTGACCATATCATGTAAGAATTGCATAAATTAGCAGGAAATGAAGTAACAAGCTCACGAGATCTTTGATTGATACGAGGCCCAAATTGCTATGAATCATTAAGAAGAATAAACGCATATAAGAACCCTTTGTAAAATTCAAATATCATTCAGCAACATTGAGGATTATAGATTAACATGAATTTATTGTTCTAGCACTGTCACCGCGCTTCATTTACACGTCGCATGCATACATAAATGCAAAATTGAACTTCTACTCAAATAAACGGAAATAAGATCTAGTGAAATCACTCGAAACCTAGATTTATTCACAATCGCGATCACAAACTAAACAACATTCGTTTGATACATATACATGGGGACAAATACAATTATAGGGTTGACATTTTCACAACGTGTAACAAAACGAAACGGCAATGTACCTGTGTAGATGAGAAATCATTGTTAGGGAGGAGAGGATCAACGGTGACGACAACCTTGGCGCCGATTGGAGCTGAAGAAGCGTCGAGAGGCGTCGATAATTGCGGTTGTTGTTGCTGTTGTTGCGTAAGTGAACGAGACACAATTGGAGGGCATTTCATGAGCCATACGTGTCTCTCTGATTTGGTCGTCTCTAGCAATTGTTGTCCACCGCCGTTGTTAGCCTTCACGGCGCCGACGGTTTTGCTGGTGGCGATTATTTGGTCCTCCATTTTTGTAACGGCTTTTTCTGGGAGAGGAATGACAGAGGTTCTCGGGGATGATTGTATGCTCGTATATATGTAGCGCAGGCGTGTCAGAACTTTTCCCATAAATTACGTAAATTACCCCTTTACTTATACTCGAAGTACATTTATAGGTCCTAGTTAATGAAAATGTTTGTTTTACTCGTCTTCTTGATTATTTTGTTCCATTTCCATTTTAGTCTCTTTGTAAGTGTTCATCCAAAAATCACTTTTTTCCCGTATTACTACTTGCATTGTTTTATTTGGTTCATCTTTGATGGCTAATTTGTATTATAACTCAAGATTGTTATTATCTCCGTCAATTTAAGACTAAACTGCACAAATGGTCCATGTGGTTTGCTCAAAATTGCCACTTTGGTCCAAAAAAATTTGGACTAGCACCAGATGTCCAAAGTTTTCATTTTATTGTTTGTTTGGTCCAATCTGTTTTGATTTTTTTCCAAATGACAGATTTGCCCCTGTTAATATGTTTTTCTCTTTTTTCTTAATTGTTTTTCTGATTTTCAGATTAAAAAAAAAAAAAATTAAACCTCTTTCTCTCTCTCTCTCTCTCTCTCTCTCTCTCTCTCTCTCTCTCCAACACCATACACTACCCTTATATCTCCCTCATTGGATCGAAAACCACTCCACCAAGCAACCCTCCAATCTGATGCCTTACATCTTCCCTCTTCCTCTCCGATGACTACTGCCGACATAAGCAAAAAGGAAGCAGACGCTAGGCTACCGGGCAGCCTCCTACCACCGAAGAGCTGCTCTTGGTTACCACCATCGACCACCTCTGTTATGTTGCTGCTTTTGCCATTTTTTGTGTGAATCGCAAAGGGCCAAACCGAGGAATCTAATGACCCATCATTTTTTCTTTCATCATCTTCACCGGAGAGGATGTTCATTGGCGATGATAGAGAAGAAGGGCATGTTGTAGGTACGCTATCATTGTTGCTCCAATTGAGGGTTTTCGAGCCCTAATCACACCTAAATCAAAGTTTTCGGTACTCTCTCCTCCGATTAGGGCTTGAAATGATTTCGACTTCATAACTTTGGGTTGTTTTATATCTGATTTGGGTTTTAACCTAACACAAAATACAGAGGAGGGAGAATGCAGAAGTAACATTTGAAAGGAGGAGGTAGAAGGTGAAGGTTATCAACGGCGCACTAGATCCAGGCACTGCTTACTTGAGGAGGCTGTTACCGAGGATTAAGAGGCTGTTGAAGAACGATAGCTTTAAGGAGAAGGCAGTTAAGTTGACTGTCGTAGCGAGTGTGATCAGCGTCGGTGCTGCTTCGATTCAGGTAATTGTGAGGAATCTGGTGACGGTTATGGTTGATTTCGTTGTCAAAAGTGAGGATTGAACTGTGAGAAAGGCGACAGCAGAGGCGCTTGAGAAGTTGGCTTTGGTAGAGACAAATTTGTTGCCGGAGTTCAAGGGTCCTTGCTTGAAAACATTTGAGGCAAAAAATATGTGAATCAAAATTAAGTGGTGATTATGTGGATTTTCGTTGAGAGAGAGAGAGAGAGAGAGAGAGAGAGAGAGAGAGAGAGAGAGAGACGTTTAATTTTATTTTTTATTTTTTTATTTTTTTTAAATCTAAAAATCAAAAAAACAATTAAGAAAAAAGAGAAAAACATATTAACAGGGGCAAATCCGTCATTTGGAAAAACATCAGAACAGATTGGACCAAACAAGCAACAAAATGAAAACTTTGGACCTCTGGTGTTAGTCCAAACATTTTTGGACCAAAGTGACAATTTTGAGCAAACCACAGGGACTATTTGTAAAGTTTAGTCATTTATTAATTTTAACTTTTAATAAAATGATATTTTAATCGTTGACCTTTTTTAATATATTCTTAAAAAATTTATCTAATTTATCCATGTCTAAAATGTTATATAAAACTTTATGGATTTAATTAGTCATTTTTAAACACATATCATATTTTAAATAATTAAAAACATTACAATAAATTGTTTTAAAAAGAAATATATTACAATATATTGTTCGGAAAAATTAATATGAAAAACTAATACATCATAATTATAAAATAAAAATGCTTAAAATCAAAGTACATTGACAAATCAATATATAAAATAGCCGATAAAAAAAAACAAATAAGATATGTCGTCAAATGTTTTAAATGGTTAATAAAGAAATTAATAGTATTAAGCTATAAAAAATGGTCTTGGCAAAATGTGAATATTTGACATTGTAAGAATAACATAAATGACTTATTTAATACTTTTATTTCTGCTAATTAGTTTTTTTCTACTGTGTGTTTACTTATTATCTTTTCTACTTCACGTAAGTGATGATTTTTGCTTGTATTAACTTATTTATTGCAAAGAGTTTTTTAGATTTTTGTATTATATATTTAAAATCATGGTTTGTTAAACATGACAATTTGAAAAAAAAAACAAAAAAACAAAAAAAAAACATTAGTTGTGACGCGTTAAACACAGTTTTATTATTTATTATTTCTAAATCAAAATAACTTTTTCATAAACAAGCTCGAGGATTAACGACTTATAGCAATAAGGATAAATTAAAAAATATTAACTACGAAGAAATCATTGCGCTAAAGAACCACTTATATATGATTATATTTTTAAACGGGTAACTCTTCATTTAAATATTATAGTAAATATACCACCAATAAGGGGACCTAATGTAAGGGTGAGCAAAAAAACAAAAGTACTGAACCATACCATATAATTTCATGCGATTCGGTATTTGGTTCCACCAAATCATGAAATTTAGATCTTGAGACTTTCGATTTCGGTGTCATGGGGTTTGGGTAACAACCAGAATCGAATCAAAATTTCTACTCATGTTTGAACACTTATATCTCTCATATAAACTTGGATTGGATTGATTCTTTTTCTTGCATCATCCTTCCCTTTCTTGGCTACATTTAGTGATTTTACACAAAGAACCAACTAGTTTTGATAAAAATAACCTAAATTACATAGTCCTTAACATGTTCTCTCGACTTTGGATTTTCTTTCTTTTTTTTTTTTTTTGAACAACTATTTTATTGAAAAATATTAGCAAAAAGCTAATAAAGAATTACATAGGAATGAGAAATCTATAGAAAAGTCTCAAACTTTTGGAAAAAGTTTCAAAAAAGTCCTAAATTTTTTTTTAAACAGAAAAGTCTCATTATTTTGAGAAAATCACATAATCTGTCATTTGTTGTTCAAATATAAAAAAAATGACTTTTTCATTAATTTGGACAAAATGTTAAATAATCGGAACTTTTCTGTTCATAAATAAACTTTTAGAACTTTATTAAAAAGTTTCCCAAAATAATGGGACTTTTCTGCATTAATCTTCATAGGAATCGATAAAATAGGGTTTAATATCCAAGACCGTCTAGTAAGACTTAAGTTCCTATTTCTATTTACAAACCAATTATAGTAATAATCAATCTATCTATCGATTAAGGAATTCCTTCTAGTATTTTGACTATTAAAGATGATGAAATTCCTTCTAGTATTTTGACTATTAAAGATGATGAAATTCCTATAATTCCGAAGAAATTCCTATAATTCCGAAGAAGCCACCACATTGTCATAATTCCTTCTTACCATAATTTTTCAACATTAACACTCATAACTCACATATGAAGTCAAATTGGACCGATTCTTTTTGGCGTGTGTTTTTTGTTGCCTTAGTTGTATCTCATAATAAAAACCTCATGTTTTGTGGTATTTAATCCCGAGTGTCATAGCCTCAAACATGAGATGTTGCACAAAGAAGAAAGAAAATGAATACTAGAATAGGATTGGTACCTAAGTACCAACCTACCCACTACCCAATCTAGTCAACCTATCCGTTTTGTTGTATCTAAATTGATGGTAGTTATAAGGATAGACTATTTATATTGGAAATTGAAGAAACGCAATTACACATTTATCTTCATAGCCTTTCGATTACATTACATACAGTGAATCCATTTACCACTGAATTCAGATGAACAAAATTACACAACCCTTGGTGTTTAAAGCAGTTGCAACTTGTAACAAATAGCATCATCAATGGAAAATGAATATGCAAATAGCCACAAATAAATAAAATAAAATAAAAAAAGGTAGGGTACAGTTCGCGCCATATGTACAAAACAGATACTACTTACGATTTACAAAGCTCTTTCTTGATAACCCAAAAACAAAAACAAAAATACGAAGATTTGTGAAAAGAGGCCGATGATCAAACCTTCGATTTACAAAAACGATGAGAACCTATACCACCCCGTACCTACCTACCTCTACTCCACTTTCATCTATAAACCACACTTGTCTCACTTATAACTACATCTAAAGACTAAAGCATAATTATAATAGGTTAAATAATAATAATTACTATTGTTATTATTATTATTATTAGCTTTTGGTTTTAGTCGGCTGCTGCTACATCTTTTGTCCCATGATGGTTTCTTACAGTCCTAGGTTGCCGAGGAAATGTAAAAGGGTCGCCTCCAATTAACCCTAACCCTCCTCTCCCATTACTCATCTGGCTAGATTCCGCTTTAACATCCAATGAACCTTCATAAATAAGATATAGTGACATATTTAGAAAAAAGAAGATATACTGATTTTACTTTATTATTTTTTTTTTTAAAAGGTAAAAAAGTCATACCAGGTAGAACTACTATAGGATCTTCTGTAGCAGAAACTATATCGCAGTTGTCTTCGTCTGAATCACTAAGAACAATCACACTTGGATCACCGATTGAAGATGAAGAACTTCTGTTTGTGATTCCAGATGTTTGGTTATAATTATTATATGGCATGGAATCCATCATCTCATTATTATTATTATTATTATTATTATTATTATTATTATCATCTTCTTTCATGTTATTATCAGAAGAACCACTACTCATTGATATTACTTCATACCCATAAGGTGCAACACATTCTTCTAATTGATTTCCTTCATGTTCGCTTTTCACTTCAGAGATTTCCATATTTGAATTTGAATTAATATTAAATTCAGATGTACATAAAGATCCTTCCGGAAGATGCCATCTTTCAAGATCCATAAATGGACGACTCAGTCTCGTTCGCCATGATCCGTCGGATTTAACTTCAATCTCGGTTACGTCTTCATCGCAAGCTTGCATCTTTTATAAAAAAAAAAAATTAAATGAGAATTTTGAGTATATTACATTTTTGGTCCCTGAGTATAGCTGGTTTTTTGCAATTTTAGTCCTTGTTTAAGGTTCTTGTAGCGCTTTTGGTCCCTTAGTAAGGAACAGGGATCAAAACGTTACAAAGGACCAAAATTGCAAGAGAATCTTTTAGGATCAACTATGAAAAAATCAGATATACTCAGGGAGCAAAAATGTAATTTGCTCTAGAATGTAACATAATTAAATATATATATATATATATATATATATATATATATATATATATATATATATATATATATATATATATATATATATATGAACAAGAATAATACCATTTTCACGATACGATTTAAATAGGGGTCGATGATGATGTCTTCTAAGGAATAGTTCTTTAGGCAAATAGGGCATTGCCACTGCAAACAAACAAAAACATATCATTTATGCAAATTACAGGTATACAGCAATCGGAAAGGGAATGGAATAGATCATTCCATTCCATCATACCAATTCTTAACATAATAACAGTTACCTTTCTAGATCGTTGGTTAATTTGGACAAGGGTATGAAGATCAAAACATCCAAGGTGAATGCATCCTTTAAATCTAGCAGCAGTTTTCATTCTACACCCACTCATCTGCCATTCATAACGAAAAACAACAAAAAAATATATTATAAAACCACCACATAAGCTTAAATTACTAAATTATGCAAATTAATTAATGGTTTTATCAGAATAGTTACAGGGCAGCGAAGATTAATTGTGACATTATCTGCAATAACTTCCAAATCACTGTCACTATCATCATTTGCAGCAGCCATTCCTCCACCAATGCAACGACACACACGGGAAACAGCTTCAGTAAATGATTCACCTTCTTGTTCATTAGGAATCATGCTGATAACCTACATTTAATATTATAATATTTTATATTATTATTGTTAATAATTATTAAGATACTTTTATACTTTATAAAGAATGTACCTGTTGAACAGTACGTTGTTTCACAAATCTGACACCCAAGCAAAAAGGTCGACCATCAGAACCAGATAAAGATATTGTGTTGTGTCCCTCCACCAGAAACACCGAAATCTGAAAAGAAAATAAAAGTAATTTCATTTTATTATTATTATTTTTATCAACATTTTTTATTCCATTCCATTCCTCATTGTATTACGTTGTTAATTCCATTCCTTTTGTGATTCCAATTCTTCATACAGAAGAATCATTATAAAATAACTTACTGAAGGACCATCATCACGACCATTGGCTCCAAGTGTCTTTGATCCAGGCCTATTAATTGTCTTAACAGGAATTCCTGGAAAATCCACAACTTGGAATTTAAAATTGTAAATTATAAATACAAACCATAAAAATCAAATACAAATAGTATAATGACAAAAGCTAACATACCATTGACTTTTAGATCAGGATATTGAGGCCAATGCATTCTGAATGGAACACTATCATTGAGTAAAATGCACCATGCCTGCTCAAGAAATATGACACAAACTTTTTTTTTATAAAAAAAAAAAAAGAAAAAAAAATCCATCCACCCAATAAGAAACCTTTTTTTGAAAATGTAATAAGATGATAAAAGAATCAAACCTGTACATCATATCCTGATTTCTCAAGTAAATGTACATTTGCTCTTGTAATTTGGAAACTTGTTTCCACATTCTGTAGTAACTGTGATTCACTAAGAAACACAAATATTGCATTACAATAAAACAGTTCAATTTTTCAAGATTTAAGCAAAATATGTAAATAATGAAGATAAAAAATATATATATAACTTACCCATCATCCGGAACATTTGAGACACTGAGCTTTACAGGACATAAAGGGTGAGCCAAACTCTTCCAAAATCTGATCAAATCAATTTTCAAAACAAAACCCATTACATAAATATTAATATTATCACAAACCATATAAAATACAGAAAAAAACATAATCAGATTGATCAGATAAATAAGAGGGTAGATTAGATTATACATACGGGTCACACCGATTGATTCTACAAATTTCACAATAATGCTGAGAAGAAACAGGTGGAGTTTCTTCAGTAGACTCTAATGGGATAATAACACATGGAATGTGTTGTAAAACATGACATTGTGGATCTGCACACTGAATCATGAACTCTGTTTTCAGTGGACTACCACATGGACAACGAACTTTTTGATCCACAATCTCTTTTTTTGGTGTAATGCTACTACTATCAGAGACACAATGTCCACCTGTTATTGGTTCAGTTGCCCCTGTATGTGGCATTTTTCTGTAACAATAAAATCATATAAATAGGTGTAGGAACAACTGATGTGGACTTATTACAAAAGTTAAAAAAAAAAAAAACAAACTTACCTGTAAATGTCATCAATTATCTTTGTTACATCTTCCTTTCGGATAAGTTTATTCTTTTGTGGACCATGAATATCTGATAATAGAAACAAAATTAGGAGGAATGTGAGAAGAAGAAGAAAAAAAAAGTTGAAAAACAAGAGGTCCTATTCATATACCTTCTTCATCAGAAAGCAAAGTCAGTATCCTATCCATGAGGTCCTATATTAAAGTAAACATGTCATAAATTTTAGAAAAATATGTGGGGGGAAATGGGATAAATGATAAAAGGTATAATCAAATGAACATTATAAAATAAAAAAACAGGTATAAACTATAAATATACCTGCTTCCTCCCGGTTCTTGCAAGACCAAGTTGGCCAAGGACATCCTTCAGTTCTTGGATTCTAAAACGTGCCATTCTTTTCTAAAAAACGAAAAGTATATAGAAAAGAAAAAAAGTTAATGCTGTAAAAAGAAAAAAGAAAACACATGAAAATAGAACAATCCAGAAAAAAGTAATGTCAATAATAGTAGTAACACGAAAAGATTGATAAATACTCCGTAATAGAGAGTATCTAGGGAAATGCAGTTACTACTTTTGGAAACTTATAAAATAATCACATCACTATGAAGATTGACTAGAAACACACACATGATAGATAGCCCACTCAACATCCTACTACAGAACTTAGTCCCTGAAATTTTTACAGATAGCAGTATGGTTCTACCATTTGTTCAAAATGGGCAGATGCACTGGATGCTAAATAGATAGTGATAGTCCACTGTGCTACAGTTATACATCTTGCATTATGCTGGCAATGGAAGAATTAAGCAAAGCAAGGAAAAAGTGCACCGATTGTTACCCACACTCAGACAGACATTTATATACCCATAGATACATACATAATATACAGTCACAGACACGTCCGTAGGGATTCAAGAGCACCAAGTCCGTAGAGATTCAAGAGCACCAAGTCCGTAGGGATCCAAGAAAACCAACTTTTCTCTGCGTGATTTCAGACAATATGGGCAAAAAACATAACAATATCCCCGATAGCTGTAATTTATTCGAAAATCAATCACAAGGGAAAATTCAACCGCATAACATTCACATTCCGCAGCAAATCAATCAAAATTAACCTCCGCAAACATCAATTACGACTACACTGATCATAAAAACACCATAAACTTTTAATCAAGTGAAAATTTACCTTGTATTCAGGCACGATATCATCCATCTCTATTCAATCTTCTGTTCCAAAGGAGCGGCACAAGTGCAGGTAACTAACCGGATTAATCAATTAGCAATTTACTGTAATGGTGACTGCGACGGTGAATTTTAATTAATCGAGGATTAGGGATCCTGAAAAGTGTGTGCTTTTTTGGTGGATTAGCTTGTGTTTTTGGGAATGGGCGATTGTAGTTGTAGTAATTCGCGGTGATAGTCAGTTGAGAGTAGAAGATGAAGGAGACGAAGAAGGCGGAGGCAATTAGTGGCGAACTGGTAGCGGTATGACAGCTCGGGGACCGGACGTCAAACGAGGGTTTTTCGGTAAGGGGATTTTTAGTTTCCTTGCTTTTATAGTGTCAATCGCATCAAGGTTTTCGTATTTTAACTTCACATTCATCAATCATAGTTAAGAGATAATCCTTTTATACTTTCTTCTAAATATATTTTTAATTACTATTTGATGAACAATTAGATGATATATTTTCAACCCATATATAGTTAAATTTGTTAATAAATCTGGAATCTTATACAAAATTCGTCTAAGAAAGTTTGAATCTTATACAAATTTTATGAAATTATTCATTAAAATAATCATATTTTGTGGTAGCATGTTACCATAAAACAATAGTAAAAATGTGAAAACGAAAACTTTGCCTGATATAAAGCATCATATAAAGTTCAGCAAGTTTAAATTTATTCTTCGTGAGAAATATTAACAAATAGAATTACGGTCTCCCTCCAATGAAACTCGATATGACTCACGAGTATTAATGTTTTGATATAAAGCATCATAGAAAGTTCAGCAAGTTCAAATTTATTCTTCGTGAAAATATTAATAATAGATTCACAGTCTCCTACTAATAAAACTCGATATGATTCACGAGTATTAATGTTTTGTTGGTTCTCAACATACCATTCAATAATGCATACATGTAGACTGATGTAGTCATAATTTGTTATTGCTAAAGAGTCACAATGTGACCTAATTTTGTCTATTTAAGGGTTTGAAGTTTATATCTTAAGATAAGTGTCCAGTATAGTAGTAGATGTCATGTGATCACTGACATTAGTCGAACTGTTGGCCCTTCATCATAATCTCAATTCGATTATGTTTCCATATAGAAACATATGAGTATGTGGTTCCCAAATTGATATTGATATGATCTCGACTCGATTGCAATCCTTGAACTTTGTGGATATGTTCACTACAAACCCTCACAAGCCTTTACTTGTCCACTAAGAGTAAATCAAGGCGTTTAAAAAGGCTTGTTGCACATGCTTATTGCAATCGAGTATCCCAACGAAAATAAAGGGCTAGTTAGTTTTATTTTATTATTTTCGTTTTAATTATTATATTTTTTATTTCTAGTGCATCGAGGACGATGCAAAGCTCAAAGTTGGGATGAAGGTCCTAAACATCAAAACCAATGATACAAGCTTAAAATGAATTTTTTTTTCTGTTTTTGTTTTTTTCTTTTTTTTTTTGAAAATTTTATGTTTTAGAAGAAGGCACCACATGCTCGATGACTTCTTAGATTTTGTGTTTTTAGATAAAAAAAAAAGGCTCTATTTAACAAGAGGTTTAGTTTTGAGATCATCATTTACTCCTCCGAGTCATCATCGACTCCTTCACGGTTTGATAGTTTTGGTTAACTCAATTGGACGATCGATATCCGATGGTTTTCTCATTAGTGCATTTTTTTTTTCAAAACATGAAATAAGGAAAAATATTTTTTATTTGGGAACGTTCTCTACTTTTCCATGCCATCCTTGATGGTTTCTTGAATCTTCATTTTTCTATTTTTTTTTTGTTTTGTTGAAAGTTTAATAACTAGGTGACTATTGTTCAACTTGATGATCATTCCAAACATATAATATCTATCAAATACAAAGGATTACGGCAGTCGTTGCACACACGTGAGGTCGATCTTATTATGAACTAATAGATTGGGAAAAAAAATCGGACGAGCAATAACAATGCATTTGCAATGCCTCCCTTGTGAACCTCATCGGGATATTAAAGTCTCACCGACAACTAGAACAAAAGATTAGTAATGGATTTGTGACCATTAGGATGACTATCTCAATCAACATCATTATAGGCACACAACCATAAATAATATGTAAAAGGGAACAAAAGACTCTGAAACTAAGTGCCATAAAGACATGTCAAAACTATAAGGAATAGCTCCATAGTGAACAATAAAATGAGAAGTAAGAAACTTGATAACCACATTAACTACATGAGCTATAAGATAAACCAAACTATCGACTACGGACGAGTGATTGTAAGATAAACCAAATTACTGAAAATAGTACAATATAAGCACGAATCTAACAACATAACACCATCAATCGGGCAATATCAATCATACATCTTATGAAGCGTATCAACGGTGCTATTGTTAGAAAAATATACACATTTAAAAGATCATATGTGTATTTCTCTAAGACATAATATAACCCTTCTAAGATTTAGAAACCTCAATACCTATAAAGTAACGTATAACTCCAAGTTTATAGCAAAATAATGAGACTTAATACCATCACAGTCATTAATGATCATAATCATGTCATCTACATATAAGGATAATAGAATATGTAATGCGCCCGTGCATCTAACCAACAACATTAAACTGTGACTACTAGGAAGAAAACCAAGAGATGTGATCCTCATAGGTGTAGTGTTTATTGGTAGTGTTGGGGTGTAGGTTAGGATATTAATATAAATCAATTAATATAAAAATCAAACTATGGATAAAATAGTAATTTTAGATCAAATATATAATAAAATGAAAGCATGTAACATCCAGTTTCGGATGTTCCTGGTTGCAAGATAGTGGACCGTAATTTGATCGAGTAAAGGTCTTGGGCTTCAAGGGAATAGAGTTTAGACCTTATTGGATGTTGATAATGTTGGTTAAGTTATTTAAGCTCTTGAATTGTGAGTTGGAGCCAAAAGGGGTAAAATGGAAAAAGTAATATTATGTACTTTTGTGTGTATTAATAAATTAATTTATGTATGATTTAAGCTAAAAGTAAGTGGATAGAGTTGTGGGGCTTGTCAATAACTTCGCACGCATATAAGGATCACTGAAAACAGAGTTAGAACGAAGAAGTTATGATCGTTTGAAGTTGAAGCTGAAAACCGAAAAATTATGAATTTATTGGAAAGCGCGGAGGGCCCTTTAAAAGCGCGGGGCGCCCCCGGCCCAGTGGGCTGCATATTTTTTAGGGTTTTTGGAGTATTTAAAGGCCATTAACCTTAAGGGTTCGTCATTTTCATCCTTCACCTCCCCTATAACATCTTTAATGAAACACTAGCCTTCATTAAAGTGTTTGGAACTCATCCTCTCTCCTTAATCCATTTTGGTACTCTCTTAATGTCCATTTGGTGCTTTCTTTAGGTGGTATTGTGCTCTAAAAAAGGAAGAAGAACAATAAATATTGGTCTTTGAAGCTATGCATTTGAAGTATTCAACCTCCATTCACCTTCTAAGACTTTGTAAGTTACAAAGTTCTAAGCTTTATTGTGTTTTATCCTCAGATCTATGAATATATGGAGTTTTATTCCATTTTATTGAGTTTTGGTCCCTTGGTCGTTTGTTTCATATATTTTGTAAAGTTCTTGAGCTTTTGATTGATTTTTGGGATGATATATGGTCACTTGGTGGATTAGAGAATGCATGCAAGAGCTATCTTTACTCTAATCATAAAAAAAAAAGATGGGTCTTTGGCCATTTCTCAACTTAGAGTTTTAGATATTGGAAGTTTGTGGCCTTGTAATGGATAAAGTTTGAAACTTTATCCATTTAAACATCATGTTGATTCATATCTAAAAGTGGAAAACTTGGACTTATTAGATTAAGACAAGAAAGATGCATTATTGGGCTCTTTGGGACTTAAAGTCCAAATCTTGGTTGTTTGAACCATGGGAATGGATAATGTTGGAAACTTTATCCATTAAGTCACTCAGAAGAATTAGATCTAAGATTTGTGCCTTTGGACTTAAAGGATTATGTCCTTAAAAGAAAAGACTATTAAGTTAAGAAACCGTGACGTGGAGGGTTGTTAGCCACGGTACGGTGGACGAGAGGCCCCACGTCTAATTTTTCGTATCCTGGCCACGACGCGACTAAAGGTTTGCCACGGCGTGGTAATCCTTTGATCGTTGATTGTTGACTTTTTAACCAGTTTGGCTTTTGGTCAAACCTTGCTAGAATTGAGTGTTTGGCTAAGAAATGGTATCGGTTTGGCATTAGGTAGATTGGATTAGTTGTTTTGATGATAAGGTAGCTGTTGAGCTTCTGTTGAGTAGTTCAGGTGAGTTTTCTCACTATACTATGCAGGACACTAGGTGTCATGATATGCTAGATTGTCTTTGTGACTTTTTCAAGAAAGACCATGGTTGGAAATGCCAGGAAAGACTGCATATGGATTGTAGTAACGAAAGTGATTGTAAGACTATTGTTGGATCATATCATTCACAAAAGGTGTCATTGTATGTATGTTTGCCTTTATGACTTGCATGAAAGACCATGGTTGGATCATGGTAGGAAAGACTGCAGCTCGGCTGTAGCAACGAAAGTAATTGTAAGATTATGGTTGGATCATGACATTCACATGGGTTGGGATCACTGTATGTATGGTATATGGTATCTTGGTAAACTCACTAAGCATTGTGCTTACTGTTTTATGTTTAAATTGTTTTAGGTTTTTTGTATATTAAAGGAAGGGTACGGCTTGATTACATCACATCCATTAGATATTTTCGCACTTAATAACTCTTATGTCTATACTATGATAAATATTTTGAATCAAATGGTTTTATTTAAATCTTTGAAGTTGTAACTGGAACAAATGCTTTTAATTTTAAATGAAATATTTTCTTTGAAAGTTAGGACGTTACAAGTTGGTATCAAAGCATTAGTTTAAGGGATTCGGGCGCACTTTACAGTGTGTCTGAACTCAAACTGAGGACTATAGGATTTCTTTTTACAAAAATATTTTCTGAAAAGTTTTTACAAAAAAAGAAGGATGTGATACATGTAATCAACCGGAGTTCAAGTGATTCCAAAAATACCTTTACATGTTGATATGTTATATGTGTTATAGTATGATATGCATGCTAGAAGTAGCCTAAGGATTTGCTCAGGGTTGCATGCTAGAATGCCTGCTTAGGAGAGATGTCTTTGTGTGCCTGATATGTGAACTGTTAGAGATGCATGATAGTGAGTATGTTAAGGATCTTCAGGAATTATGTATTAGGATTGCCTGATCTTTATGATGCCTTATTGCATGTTGGTTTTGATGCTCGAATGTTGCTTGCTTTCTGCTATGTGAAACCTATGTTGAT